ATTCAAAAGAGAGCAGAGCTATTACAACTACAATAATTCAAAATGACTGAATATTATAACAGACTATTATTATTATTATTATTATTATAGTTCAGGTGGGCAGCTGCGTCAGCATGCGTCGTCTGCAAAGGAACAAGTCATGGGTTTATTCCCTGCTGAAAAGAGAAGAGAGAAAACACAACGTTTCGGCTGTGGAGCGTTCTTCGGGTGCAAGATGTAAGTGTTGTGTCAGCACAAACATGCTTCATGATTTATCATCTGTAAACGTGACTGGTTTACTTACAATATCACTGATATAAACTGGGAAGGACAGTGGTCCCAGCAGATCCCTCTGGTGCGGAACTAATTGCATTATTCCATTCTCTCTCTGTCGGAGGAATCCTACTCCGTTGAGCCCCTGAGCAAGGCCCTTCACCCCAGCTGCTCCAGGGGCGCCGTATAAACGGCTGACCCTGCGCTCTGACCCCCAGCTTCTCTCCCTGTCTGTGTGTCTCATGGAGAGCAAGCTGGGGTCTGCGAAAAGACAAATTCCTAATACAAGAAATCGTATAGGGCCAATGAAGTGATCTTATCTTATCTTTACTCTTTGTATTCTATCAGTAATTCTCAACCCAAACATTATACATGCTCCATTCCCTGAATACCTGTATTGTAATGTGAAAATTAGCCTTTTATGAGGAACTTAATGAAGGACCTTCTGAAAATCAGAACACATCACATCATATAACGTGTTGGGTTAGATAAGCCATACATTTTCACAGCTTGCCATTTTGAATAGGAGTGAAATTCATTTCAGGACTAGCAATCAAATAACAGTGTGAAGCGCAACTAAACGGAACAGCCATTTTTCTCCTGTCATTCAAGCGCAACTAAACGGAACAGCCATTTTTCTCCTGTCATTCAAGCAGGGAAAACGATCTGAATTTTTTAAAACGTTTTATTTGAACAAGAAAAAAAAAGACGACACAAAGAAGATTACGTATAACACATCAATAACACCGTCAGGGGTACATATTACAATGCAAATACACTTTCGTGAAAAAAAGTTTCAAACAGAGCAAATAAAGACGACGCCCTCACAGTTCCCAAACATCTGAAGTTCTTTGGCGGCGCCTGTCGCTAGAAGGGGGCGGGGCCCACGCTGACGTCCAGATGTGGAGGAGAGCCGTGACGTCTGCTTGTTATTGTCGGCGAGCTGAACTCTGACCTCCGGAAGTCAGGGAGGTGATGCTGGAGGAAAGATGGCGGCTGCAGCGGGGTTTAGCGGTCCTGCGATACTCTGTCTGGTTTTCGCTTTATTCCTGAGTGGCGGCAGTGGCAGGGTACACCACCTCGTCCTGAAGGTAAAGCGCGATGAATGTGACGAGGGTTAGGCGCTCCGTGGGCTGTGGACCCCGGCCTTTACGGTGAAGGTTGTGTTTTTTTTGTTCTTGCGAAGTGGAGAGATGGGGAGAAGGGATTTAATGCCGCTGTGATACTGAGGCGTTGGGTCTCTTCGAATTCACGCCGTCGTGAAAAATTAAAGATGCGTGGCCGGGCGGATATTAAAATTGTACAGCTGCTGTGGGTCGAAAGCGACGAAAGCCAATGGGATTAAAATGGTTCAGTAGTGCATTTGGCGGAGAATAACGAGGTGCCAGAATTTGAGGACACACGGCGCAGTGTTTTGTCGATTATTTTTCTCCACCAAAATCTAAGCGAATTCTCCGGCTGCATTGTAAGAGGTCTGGGGTCATGTGTGGTTCGCCTGGTTGAAGTAACTGGGGGGACATTTCCATGAGCACACGGTGATTTGGCGGTAGGAATTGGAAATCCGGGCTGAAAACAGTAGCTTGCAGTAATAACCCCTAGCAGCGTGCATCTTTTGAATGCTGTTTCAAATCGAATAGATTCCGGCCCTTTTCTGTCTCTTCATTTGCCTCTCGGGCGGGCTTTAATAGAGCGTTTTGAAAGATAGCTACTTTATTAATCCCGTGAGGGAAATCGCAGTGGCAACTGCAGTCTGGCCCAATCAACACAGCGCCGGCCACAGAAAGGTCTTGTTCACAATCTCAGTACCAGAAAAATCAGTCACTGATTGATGATTCGTTCTTGTTTTAGCTGAGGATCACAAGAGACTGGTCATTGGCCTGATAACAGTGCACGATCAAGTAGGTAGCTGTGTTCAGCAGGAGAAGGTTAATTCCACGCTGAAAGGACAAGAAAAGCAACACAACATTCCAGCAGGGGCGCCTACAGCCTTTGACATCTGAAGAAATCCACAGCTGAAACGTTGCATCTCTTTCCTTTACCTATCAGCATGGAATGACCTGTTTCTTTGATGACAATGCCCCCCGTGTGGCAGTTAAAAAGATGTGTACTTGTTCAGTGACCTGGCTAAACCTTGCATATTACAGATCACCCTCCAGCTGCTTGGTGTTTGACTAAGTTTTCTTCCTTCTGACAAGAAGGGTGGTTGATTATTAGATGGGTCACATTTTTGTTGTTACGCTGGCTTTAGTGTCTTCAAATCTCGAAAAGCTTCTTCCAGGTGTCTTGGGTAAAATATCAAGAGTTCTTCTGAGTCCTTTATTTAAAGTCCGAGCTGTGCAATTACTAATTGCCCTGAGGACACATTTTAATAGTGAATCTCAGGAATCTCAATATGTGTTCTTCTTGCTTTATGGCTCCAGAGAGTTGCGGGTGTCTGTGACAAGTTGCTGAGCCATGTTGTTGAGACTGACACCTTGGCTTCTTTCTTTTGTTTTTTAATTTTTTTTTATTTTTAGAGAACAAAACCAAACCATTTTA